ACAGTTTTTACAGTGATAATTGTAAAAAAAAGAAATATAAACATTGAAAAATGTTTGAAAAAAAAAAAATGGCACACCCACACTAGGGATTGAACCCGTGCCTGCTGTGTGTGAAGCGGACGTCTTTCCACTGAGCTACTGAAGGACTCTTTCGTTGGTAGTAATGCATCCGGTCGACTTTATGTCGGAAAGTTTGCTGCCGATTTCCCTACAGTACATGCACTCCCGGCTTGAAGTCGGGCAACACCACACCATTGACCACATTCGCACCATATGCGTGCGTATTCAACCCGATGTACGCACTTTGTGCTTGACGTTTAAGTGAGCGATGTCTTCAGCCACAAGAAGGGACGACGGCTCGGCGACGTCTTGGTGGTCAGGCGTGTCGTACAAGATCAATATCAATTCTTTTGATCGTTCCAAAATTTCTCTTTTGAAGGATGACATAATTCGCCGGTACCGTGAACAATAGTTCTGAAGTAGAGGTCCCACGCCCGTCGTCCGCTGCCACCCGCGAGTCCCACGAAACGCGAAACGACGCCATGTTGAGAATTATGCAGTGAAGGCCCAGAATGCTTCTGGTTGTCTGTGCAACCTTTTTTTTTTTTTTTTTTTTCAATCAATGTATTAGCAGCTTTTTGGAAGCCACAAAAAATAGGTTACAAACTTTTTTTTTTTTTTTTCAATATTTAATATAGAGTGTGTGCCTTCAATGATCCACTACTTTGATTAAATTTGGTGGTCGCGTCAAAACCTTAGAAAACGGCCCGTGATCACAGAAAAGAGAGTGAGCACGACTCAAACCGGCTAGTTCTCGATCGGCGGCTTTTGGGCGGAAAGAAACCGAATTTCGAGCCGCAAATTCTGTTTTGGGTACTTGGGCTCTCATATGTCACGCACAACTCAAGAACTCGGCGAGCATAAATACCCTGTCAGTGTCCCTTTAAGATTTACGTGTTTATATCTACTTTGCATTCCTGCTTCTCTGAAACCTTTTGATGGCATCAGCAGCATGCAGGTTTGATTCCCTATCTAGCACCTTGATTGCGCGTAGAAGCAAGCACAAGGCACAGAGACAAGCTGTTGATTGATGAAGTGCAGTACAAACTTCTGTGCATGGTTATTATAGGTATGAAATCAAACTTAAACCAAAAGGTATATTCCACTGAAATAATGTTAGATTATAATAATTTCGAGCATCGAAATTGATTTTTTTTTGTTTTAAATTATAATAAAACTGCAGTTCATAATTTAGATAGAAAATGATTTTGTCATTGATTATGACATAAAAGAAATTTTTTAACCCAAACTATAATCAGCATGTGAAAAATAAATATGCTCTCTTAAACAAAAACAATCTTTCTGAACTCAATTAGGTTATTTCCAGGCTTGCACTAACAGCTCCAGGTAATTTAGTTCACATTTATTGCATTCCCTGTGCCATAAAACAGATGGAACCCATATAAAGGTAATAACAAAATGAGAGTTGACATAAAATATAATCATATGGAACAGTTCATGAAAGTTTGTTTGTGGTACTAAGTATACATGATGAATCTCGAATGTGAAAAAGATATGGTCAGGATATTGTAGTCTATCATACATACTAGCCAGTTTTATTGAGAAGTGTGAAACGTCCCGCTCTGCTAGCTATCCAGCCAGAACAGACAAGCACGAAAAATATTGCAAAAATTCCTTCAATGTTTGATACAGACATCAAATCGAATATGATGTTATTTGAGGGTGGTATAGCGGTTCTTGATTTATTTTACTGTAAAGTTCCATCCAGATGGAAGAGAAAAGCACCACTGAACCTTTGTGCAGCATACACGAGGGTTGATCCCTATGCTACTTTCCTGACCCATTTCCGGAGTTACCCCCCATTCACACTGGAAGCGGATCCGCGTTCGCGAAGCGGTTGCGAAAGCGGTTGTATAAAGATCCAGTGCAATTGCACGCGCATTTGATGTCATCGTGTGCGCGTGCAATTGTACTGAATCCTTATACAACCGCGTTCGCAACCGCTTTGCGAACGCGGATCCGCTTCCAGTGTGAATGAGCCCTAACAGCACTCAATGTTCCTATGTTAGTTTTAATGTAGTCTTTAAGCCAATAACACTTTTCCCAGCAATCCTAAAACATTTATACTGCTTCCTGGAAAGAACCTTGTCCAACTTCTGGAAACCACGCACCTCTGGCCTCTATTACCTTGTATACCCATTAAAAATCTCCTCCCATGCACATGTTACCTTTGTTTTGTTTTTTAAGAGTCTGTAGTCATTGGGAGCCAGGTTGAGCGATTATGGTGAATATCATTTCCGAAGCTTTATTTAGGAATGGTAACCATTGTAATGCAAGACCTGATGCTGGGTGCAATGTCGTAATGAAGAAGCACTGCCTTTCTCCAATTTCCACGACGTTTCTTCTTGATCGCAGCGCATCATTTTGCAATTAGGTTCGCGTAGTAAGAACCTGGTATTGTAGCTCCACCTTGTAAATAATAATAATAATAATAATAAAAATAAAAAGATTTATTGAGTAATTGTTATTGTTACTCTAGCTTGGATGAAAAGCAACAGTGCTTTCTACTGGGCCCTCGGGATGGAACCAACGGGACTTTATAGGGCTTGCGGTCGTTCTATCTGGACGGAACTCCAGAACCTCCGTCTTCATGTACTGTAAAATACATGATATGTTTGCGAGCCCCTAATGTTCGCAAATTTTACGACTTGGAAAATTTGCAAACTTCAGGGAGGCAAATATTTCTATCATCTCGAGAGGCCAATTTCAGCCTTTAGAATTCGAAAAAAACTTAATTGGTCGCAAAGATGACACCACTGCCCAATTCGCAAAAACTGGGGGGCGCAAAAACAAAGGGTTTTACAGTACTATCGTGATGGAGGCTCAAGAATAAAGAAATATATGACAAAGAGGATAAATGACCTGAAGGTTTTGGTTACGACCGTGTGCGGGATGTCTATGTGGTCCATTATCTTAAGTTTCGTTTTTTTCTCAGTCTTCATATCCATCATGAGCCTACAGAAGCTTGCCTGCATGATTTCTTTTGTTTCGACATACTCTCGGCAGTTATTTAGAGGGCTAAAGCGGGAGTAGGCAAGCTCTACAGTTGTGAAAAGTCGAATTAATTGGACAGAGGTTCAGCTAGCAGCTGGTCCTAAAATAGTGTCTGGTGTCTTGTAAAAGCATGAGAAAGAATGTTTGGAGATCTAGGGCCATGGAAAGAAACTAATGACATACAGAGATAAATAAATATTCGGGACAGAGACGGTTTCCTTGAGGCTACAGGCTCCTTTTAGATTGTTTATGAAAAGAAAAATAAATAGTCCCGAATGATGCCCAGTGGAAGATGCTGCAACAATCCGGACAAACTTTGAAACGTCACAACACAATTAAAAGGTTGTCATTCCTTTCATGAACCCCACCAGTGACCCGTCTGAGTTGTATCTGACAAGGAAACTTCACGACGCCACGTAATCACTTTTTTTTTCAGCTTTGTTGTTATTTAAATAGCTACATTCTTTCAATTTTCTTGACCACTAGCCAACCTGAGGTACCTAGCCCAGCAGGTATGCAACGGTCATTTTGCCGAGTTGACTGCAATAACTCTACCACTCTGGTCGTGTGGTGGCACCGAGTATGGGAGGCACTGCACACTAGTGGACGAGTTAAACTTGTACCTGGTATTGAAAGGATAATGCCAGCTTGCATGTAAACCCAACACCAGGACTATGCATTCTTGAACTAGAGGCTGCAGAAATTGAACAGCAACTGCAAATGAGCAGGCAATATTTAGCATCCATTTATCTATCCATCCTCAACCTTTCTAATATGGCCCGATCAAAGCATCAAGGCACTAAAAGCAAAAAAAGTTCAATTTAAAAAAAAGAAAAAAAAAAAGAGGAAAAAAAAGAAGAAAAATGTAAAAGGCGGTTTTTTCAAGACATACTAAGTTCCTGAAGAGGTTCTGTCTCTCAGCATAAAGTCAGCTACCATTATCATGCTCCTAACAGGTTCTCTTCGTGAGGTTTCAAATATAGTGAATTTTTTTTTATACATGTTTTAAGTAACAGTGTCTAGAGTACCATCCCACGGCACTCTTGCATAGCGTACAAGTGCCATCCAACGGTATTCCACTCACGCGTTCAAGTGCCTTCCGAAAGTCTTGTATAAAACAAATTGTTGAAACAAGATTTTCGAAGCGTTAGCAAAGCAGTGGTAAGATGTGTGCCTCATACGCAAGTGGTCCCAAGTTCAATCCACAATGCGAGCTTATCTTTTTTTTTTCTCTCTCTTTAACATTTTGTTTTGTTGAGGCTTTTAGCAATATTTACAACATTTCTTTTTTACGATTAACATTGAAAAAACCTAATGTTGTCGACGAAACTTCGCTGAACAAAAGGGTATGGGACTTCCCCTCCAGAGGTGCATGGGGGGCGCCAGGGCTTGGGTTGCCGGCTAGACATGGGCGTACCAACTAGGGGGGCAAGGGGGTCGCTTGCCCCCCCCCCTGAGACAGCCGCCACTGGGCAGGGCAAATACTGTCCGTCGGCGCCCAAGAGATACCACGGACACCTACCTCCAACCCGGGGGGGGGGGGGGGTCTGGTTTGCCCCCCCACTCAAAGACAAGTTGGTACGCCACTGCAGCTGGATGTTGTGAAGCGGCATGTACGACGGGGACAAGTGGGTTAATAGTTTTGTAATTAGCAAAAGCATACTGTCGCCGCGAAGTGGCGTGAACGCAGGCGGGGGTGTGTGTTAACGAACTCCCCAGTGATACACGTGCCGTCCGACTTTCTTTCGGATGGCACTGTAGACACAGCCTTCAAGTAAAAGTAGGCTCAGTCAATAAACATTGTCCCGGCTGACCTCGAACCTAACCTCAACGCCAATACAATGCAAACATTTCAGCAAGGGTACCTGGAAAGCAAAAAAGCACTGCCCCCCAACTAAGACTTGGCCCTCTCTTTATGAACCTACCTAGGTTCTGCCCGGTCCTTCATCGAGGAATGCCGGCACTCGACGTCTCTTCGGGTCCTGGGACGTCGTCAGGATTGCCTCGATCGAGAGCCTGCGTTCCGTGCAAGCCAGAGGCTAACTGAGTGCCCTGCCTTCATTTCACGAGCACGCGCATGGACGAGCGTGCAGAGAAGACACCGATACGACGATCATGCCGGTATTTCAGCTAAGGGCAAACCACTGGCTCACATTACGCGACAACTCGCCCCCGATGCGTGCAAGCCTAAATACTTACATATCTTGAATTTCAGGCCGTTAGCATCCACGAAATTCGACGTTTTATCAACTTAATGCCTACAACTATTTTCGTTTTTCCCTGCACACGAACGAGTCATTGGGATACGTTGCCACGGAAGGCGCAGCAACGCATCCCAATGATTACCCTACGCCGAAAAAAGAAATTCACACTCGAGGTTCGGAGAATCAACACTCGTATAGGTATATAACAAGATTATATAATGGTTTACAGCTTTCCCCATAGCAACAGCTAGAGCTCGAACTGCGGCAGCTCTTTTACGCACAGAGGACGCGGGTAGGACTTGTCAGCGTGTCACACGAGCCCCCCCACAGGAAAGAGAAATAAAGAAAACAAACTCAGCAAAGCGACTGCAATGCGCTTTTCGGCCAGCTTTCCTACAAGACTTGCCGCCTACTCGATCATCGAGATGTCCCTTTGCTTTCCCCCTCATCTAAGTAGCTGCGGCGATTGCTAGGCTAATTGAATCACACGCAATCTCAACAGACAGATATGTTCCCAACTCGTCGTACCAACATTTCGCCGTTTTTTTTTTTTTTTTTGTTTTTTTTTCTCTCTCAACGATAACACGATGTCAACGGTTTGAGAAGGTGGCACGTTCGTGCAAGGCATTAACGTCCAATATCTAGGCACCGCTTTCCAATTTTATTTTACTTTTTGTCTTGCTCAGTTCGGTTCTAGCTCGCAGGACGTGCTCATCGGCGAAGCTCGCGGAGGCGATATGCTGCAAAATACAGCACTGCGAGGAAGGCTTTTTAAAATTTCTCACACAATTTCTAAGTGACCCGATAAACAGATCAGTCTTGGAGGCCAAAGAAGGCTCGCGAAAGCGGCCACCTGACCAGCGTATTTGAAAATCGAGGAGAAAAAGCGATCCCAACGACGGTGCCAGAAGCGACTTGCCGAGTGGCGGACGCGAAGCATTAAGCCTAACACCACAGCGCATTGTTTGCACACTGCAAAAATAAACACGATCCGTCGGTGCACATTCTCGGCAACAAATTATTGCCCGTTCAACGTGGAACAAACGCTGCTTACCTGATCGAATAGCGCTGCGCCGCGTTCAGTCGTCCGCACAAGTTTCCGTCGAGCCTCGGCGACACTTCATGGTTGGCTCGGCGGAAATACTTCCGGAAGAAAATAAGAAAAAAAGAAAGAACCACCTGGGATAAAAGTACCCCGGGTGTACGCGGAAAGATGACCTGGAAGGGCTCCGGTCCTGGTTTAGAACCTCAAAGCTACTAAGCTGCCGGCTTGTCGGCGGTGCAAATCGTGCGACAAATCCGCCAAAGTCCAGGGTGTCTCACGGTGCAGAAACCACGGTTCACTTCGGAGGGAGAGCAGACACCACGCAGAGGGAGGGCTGAAAATGCTGCACAATGCAAACGCGAAACATGAGATTCAAGCGCATTTGGGGAAGAATGTTTTGGGTTAACGAGGCGCTCGAACGTGAGTAATTCGACAAGTGCCTCGAACTGAGCACGCAGATCAGGCTTTCTCCGCAACAAAAAGCTAATGAAATCTTTTTTCTTTTTTTTCCCGAGATGTAGAAAAAAAAAAAAAGGATGAAGTGTGTTTGGTGTCGCCACCTAGTGGGGGGAACCCGCTCATTTTTTGTTTTTACTTTTATTTATTGTGTGCAGGTAAGCCGGAGGCTGACCGGAGGAAGTAGTGGAATGCGTGATAAAAGCGCGCGTTCAAAACTTCCAAGTGTCGTGGTGTTGTTGCAGAGCCCTAAAAACGTTGTTCCGTAGGTCGCCAACGAGACTCGACCGCGATGGTGTGCACGGAAGGAAGTCACGTCTAAACTCTTTAAAAGTTTAGTGCTCCGCTTGTTCTAGAGATGGAATGCAATACCGAGTACTCAGAGTACACGCCACCTTCGTCCCCACGGCATGAGCCCCTGTCGTGCAGCGTCTTTGGTAAGTAATCGATTCCTGGGATACAAAACTGATGTGAATTCGTTCACGTTTGCCGTGGTTTTCGTTGGTTGTTTAGTCTTTGTTCTGTGTCTTGCTTTTCCTGTTATCTCTGGATGCTACAAGTTAAATGACATGCTGTCAGTGAATGAGAAAATAAGTTCCAATGTATGCAAATCCTTCCAGAACAATGTACCCTTTCGGGGTGTTTTGTAATTTGGAAGGTTACCGTGATATGCTTTCTGTATGTAGTCTTTCAACCGTGAAATCAAACAGTCCAACGGTTGCTTACTTACTGACTCCTTTCTTTTTTCAGCAAAGCTTTAGAAGGGCCCTGCAAGGACTTTTTTACGTGTTTTTAATTTGCACCGAACTTGAGCTCACTGAACGTGGCAACTTAATAAAGCTTTTTTTTTTTTTTCTCGAACTTTATTTTAAACAGCAACAAGGTACTGCGGTGGGCTAGTTGGTTCATACTTAGTGTTTGAACAGCGCAAAGACGACAGGAAGATATAAGAGAAGAGGACAGGACGAGCGCTGATAGTCAGCGCTCGTCCTGTCCTCTTCTCTTATATCTTCCTGTCGTCTTTGCGCTGTTCAAACACTAACTATTTATTTTAAAAGTTATAGGCAAATTACAATTACAAAAACAAGCAAAAAATAACCCCCTTCATGACGTCCTTGATTGCTTGAGTGGCTGTGAACTAGTGGAGAGGTAGTGAGCTCAGCGAGCGCTCACGGCTGCTGCACTCAGTGTCGGCGGCTTGAGAGGGCGCCACTAAAGCACATTCTGCATAAACTGTATGAAGTGGGCAGCCAGGGCGGCTCGCATTCCATTTGCTGCACAATTAAACATTAATTCGGCATGACACTTCATTGGCCACAAACGACATCAAACACGGGGTAAAGATCAGTTCAGAACGGGAACAACTTCGCACTGTCATACCGCCAGACCTGAAGCCAAACCTGCTCGCCGAAGGCCTTCAGAACGCTCGAAACCGGTCGGATCCTTGAGCCCGTATACGACCGCAGCGCCGCCGCGTATATCCGGGACCTTTCTACGCTTGTCGCTCGTCGGTGCCTGATCCCACTACACCTTTCTAGTATGCACTGCCTTTTCCACCACTTGGTGGCAGGTATATTGACGGGTAATTTCTAGGGAGGCTCTAGTGAGGGTGGGTGCAACTGCTAGATTGGGGTTCACGAAATATAAACACCTTTTAATTGCTAAATTTTGGTGGGGGTCTACGGGGCAAAGTGTCGTTTTATTTCCTAATTCAGGTCATAAGAGCCCATTAATGTGCTTGAATAATTTACGCAAGGTATAAATGATTACTTTTCTATAGCCACCAGTTTTGTTCCGGTAGGTTAAGTATTTGTTTAACGCGAAAAATGGTAAACTCCGCCATCTTGGACGCTGCTGCTTGTCTGGCAACCCTGCTTTCTCCTCTCGATGTTTGCCATTCCCGGAGCGAGAAAGGCTACGCCAAGGCATTCGTTGCTTGCAATGGGAGGCAAGAGGAGGAAAGGCACTTGGGGCAACAGAGTTGCAACAGAGCAGGCATCTGCTCTCGTGCAGGCAATATTGGCTCATATCCTTTCCCAATCCTCTCCCTCATGTGCCTCCATTCAATTGCATACATTCTCCAGGATTTGAGGTGCGCCCACCCTCACTAGAGCCTCCCTAGTCATTTCTTGTTTCCGTACTTTAGAAACTGCATTTGTTTCTTTGCTGATCTAAAATGCTGAACAAAAACTACTTTTATAAATAATTAAAACGGTTTGCGCCACTTATATTTAGTATTTCGATTTAAAAGAAGCTTTTAGCAGCCCTGACCAGTAGTAAGCCCAGGACCAAAGACTTCACATATTGCGCGCTTTCGCAACTGCTGGTCGCCTCCGTAGGTGGAGGCAGGGCCGGAGGCAGGAATTTCCTGAGGGGGGGGTCAGGTGTTGGTCAGCGTACCATTTGTTTAGGAACCCCCTCCCCCTCTTCCTTGTTTCACACCCTAAATTTTACACATGCAGAAATCAAGAGGGGGGTTCGGACTCCCCCTCTAAATCCACCCCTGGGTGGAGGAGGTCTCCGCCTCGTCCCGTTAAAATATGACGCACTGATATTTAGAACACGCTGGCACCTTCTATGCTGTGACCCTGGAACTGCATTTCACAAGAGTGAAGGTTTTGCGGGATTTTCGAGGTCAAATGTGCGTAATACCTATGAGAAAGGCTTGTTTATAACGTTAACAGAAGTTTTTCAAGACAAGAAAGAAAGTATAATGAACGAGAGAAATAGAAAATATGCCGGACTGCCAAATTTACACTGCTACCCAATAAATGGCGCCAGTGTGTCCTCTAGTTGTAAGAGATATTAAGAGGTTCCAAGGCACTTGGTTCTAAGAGGTTGCAAGTGTGTGAACGAGCCTTAAAAGTCTGCGGTTTCCTAAGACAGTTTTTGAACCATTGTAATTCTCTACGTTTCATTACTAAAACTAACCCAAAGCTTAGCAATTAATGAGCATCAACTTCATAACATTGCTTTTGAAAACGGTCAGGAGGTCTAGGTCCTGGCGTTAGTGGCGTTGCCAGGGTGGAGGCTTATGGGGCTTCAGCTCCTCTCCCCCTAAATCCGGCCGGCCCTACAAATACACGTGTATATTGTAGGGCCCCCCGAGAAGAATTCTTGGCTACACTACTGCCTGGTGGTGTTGACATCGTTTTCATGTGAATAATTTCTGACTGAACTATCCAGTTATGCCAGAAAATCTACATACTCATAGTCCTCTTTCTGCAGTTCACTTGCTGCAGTTGACTTGATACCAAAGCAGTATTTGAAGTATCACCGTGGACAGTGCATAATTAAAAAGCAAATTGAGTTCTGTCATTTAGAAAGCCGCATGGCGTGCCAGGCCAGAATTGAGTACAAGGTAATTTGGAATTTTTTGGCAGAATTTGAAAGCAATCTTTGCAGTCCCATAACTCGGTTATAAATTGGCACACACTTTTATAACCTTCATTAGAACGAAGACGTGTTCACAATCCAAAGAAAATTTGTAAAATCCATTACGATACGTGTCGGTACCTTGAGTTGACAAAATCTTGGAAGGTGTTTTTGACCTCATCTTTTTTCTGCAATGTTTTGTCCCACAAAATGTGATCTGGATGTTTAGCAATGGGAAAACTGTTGGGGCAAGGTCTGAAGAGTGGTGGATAAGCGAGAGCTTCGAGCCCAAACTTCCTCAACTTTCGTATCATGATCTGTGAAATGTGCAGGAGTAACGGTCTCTTCTAATCAACCAATGCTGACTTTTTTTTAAATTTCGAGTGCATTTTGTTGAGTTTCCAAAAATACAATTTTTCTCTGATACAGTCGAATCTCGTTAATTCAAACTCGAGGAGGACCGAAAATTTGTTTGAATTACCGGGAGTTTCCTCCCATAGAGGCGCATAAGATGGGACCTGCATGTTAGTTTGAATTATCGGGAAGTTTGAATTAAGAGAGTTTGAATTAGCGAGATTCGACTGTAGTTCCACCAGGTGTGAGGAAAGAAAAATGGGTACTTCCAGTGGTAGACCACCAGACAGTGACCGTGGTCTTTTTCGTGGTCATATTGGGCTTAGGGAAACATTTTTGAGGCTGGAGCGATGACCAATGTACAGAATATTGCCTGTTATAATCAGGAAATAATTTTTCATCACATGTTGCGATTCCGTCAAGAATTTGGTTGTTGGAGTACCTTGTGAGGTGTGAAGTTAGAAAAGAAAAGATATTCCAGGAATCAAGACGAGGTCAAGAACGTCTTTCGAGATTTCGAAAATTCATGTCACCAAGTCCGAACTTTTTTTTAAAGTGGGATTTATGAACTTTTATCACATTTGCAAGGATGTATTGGCCCTAAGGAGTTTACAGAACTTGAAAGATTGGTATGAATTTTGCCAATACTTTTTGAATTACCTAATACAAACAAAGCACAAAAGTAGCAGGAGCCAGTAGTGAGAGCTTAGAAAAGAACCTCTTGGGGGAGCTCCAGGTTTGTAGCTGACATTTCCCTATTTTTTATATTTCTTTATTACACCTGACATGAGGGTTAGCACACCAGAAAATTACTTGTCAATGACTGTCTTGAAATGGGTAAGGTTGGAGTGGAGCTTGGTGTCGGTGGGCAGATCATTCCAATCCTTTGCTGCCAGGTCAAAGAGACAACAGAGGTGGGCAATAGTATGGACGCACATTGGATAAATGGTTCTCTGGTGAATGATGCAGCTTGAAACATGACGAGCTAGTAAGATAACATGCGTAAGCATTCAAGGTTTGGTAGATTAGAGCTTGAGATTCTAGTTTAAGGGCACTGGCATGGTGTGAATGAACTGTCCTGCCCAATTTTGAACAGATTTCAGTGTTTTACAGTAATTAGTTTGGTGCGGGTCCCAGACAGCAGATGCATACTGTAGTTTTGGTCAAACTGGAGTCTGATAGGTTAGTAATTTTATTCATAGTTTGCATTTAAACTAGGTGACTCTGAGGCAAAGCGCCAACCTACGTATCCCCAAATATCAATTTAAAATCTGGGCCAAGGTGCCCGCAACCTGACGGAGGCTTATTGCGGAGAAGACAGAGATTTCGGTTTACTTCAAAAGATTCCGGGCAGTCTAAATTACTTCTCAATCCTTTGCTGAAGTGTGCCAGTTGTTCTTTGTTGGTTTAGTGTGTAAAACCCCCCAAATTTTGCATTCAACAAATTTCAGAGCCTTCGGATGTCACGGTTGGCCTTGTTTTCACGTGCCGCAGTGACGCGCACCCAAGGAGTGTCACATGCCACATTCCGTTGGAAGCGCCATACATCTGGCTCTTTGGACGAGCGTTCTACAGGAGAAGGTTTTCCCAACACCACTTGACAGAGCTCTTTTGGGCGGCTCGGTAAGCGTCACAATGCAAAAGCCTTCATTGTGAAACTATAGCTGCATTCGTTTCTCACAGAGCACAGATATTCGAGCTCTTTGCTGAATCCAGATGCCACGAGATTGTGATCGGTAAGTATTGTCCAATGTTGGAAACTACCCAATCTTTTTCGAGGACCAAACTTTTGTCCATTTCACGACTCGCCCACAATTTATAAAAACTTAATTGCAGGAATAAATTGGCAAAATGTAAACATGGTAGAAACAATATCGAGATGCTTTCCTTCATTCAGCATTAATTTCAATGTGGAAAAATACAACGGTAAGACTTCGCATTATTGAAGCATGAAGTGCTTTTTAACAGAACCCCCAATCCCAAAAGTTTGTCTATCCATTTGTCCCTTCTGTGCATTTCCTGCCAAATTTAGCGGGGAAACTGAATTGGCGTTTAGGATATCTGATGTCAATTGATTTTTTCAGTTTGCCCACTATAGTCGGCGGGGAACTTTATGTCATGTAACCCAACGTCACATGGCCTCACTACTTCAGTTTCCCAGCTAAATTGGGTGGAAAAATGGACGTAATCTTACCTAATGTCGCATCACCTGTACGCCGGTTCACTTTCCCTGCTAAATTTAGTGGGAAATTTGATCTCCCGTGACATTACGTCAGAAGACCTATATAGTATCAATTTAGTTTCCCTGCTAAATTTAGCAGGTAAATTGATGCTATGTGACCTATGCACCCAGTTTCCCCGCTCAATGTAGCGGGGAAATTGTTGAAAATAAAGGTTCTTCATTCCCTGAAATGACAGTTTAATCTCTTCTAAATAATTTTAAACGATTGTATCTTAAATACTGCATTTCATGCATTATGGGAGTTTGGAGAGAAAGGTCGCTGCCAATTTTTATGTTTAAGTTCTATCAATATGTTTGACATGAAATAAGGCACAAGTGGCAAAGCCTGAACAGGCAAACCTGAATGACTCTATAAGCTAGCTGGCTTATAGAGCATCTTTATGATTCTGGGAGTCCTCAATGGTAACTGCCAAGTGCATTTACATTTGCCCATGCAAAAGAATGGAAGCCATCACCTGAGGTTTTGCAATGTTGCGAATTCAGCGGTTCAGGGGCGTGGTTGTGATCTCCTGTGCTCTGTGTATTGTTTTGTATTAAGGGGGTAAGAACATTGCTGGAAGTTTTACTTTCTTTTGTGTCCTCTATTTCTCAGTTTATTTTCTGCTTGTGAACACTATGTTGGTGGAAACGGGCAGTTTGCACCCTGAGACCGTGTGATTGGCTGCAAAATTAAATGGCTTTATTCCTACGAGGTCAATTGCATGCTTGAAAAGTGAACCCGATAGTGTCTTGAGCGAAGCAGGTCACACAAAGTTATTGTGAATGCTTGTTTTATTTTTGTTCAAAGCTTGCTGCCCCCCCTTTGGGGCTTGTAGGTTATTTGTGTACTTCTTGCACAATTTATCATATTTCAAAACTAGCTTTGCCCGGTTTCACAAAGTATTATGCTCGCAAAACAAAAGAAAGTTGTTTTTAATGGTTATTTTGGCTTGATAGTTTTCGCTGTCTAAAAGCTGTACAAAGCAGAGTGTAGATGAAAGATGCCTTGTGCAGAGAACTTGAAACAGTAGCCGTAAGAGTAGTTCTGATAGACAAGTTAGTTTACATCCAGGGCTGTTAACCTAAATGAAATTTGCATGGTGCCCTGCTTTAAGCTCCAAGTGGTGTTGCCAAGTTGCAGCAGGATGTCTCAACATTCTTCAGCTATCTGAGGCACGAGGTTGAGAGGTAGGTCTTTTTTTGCTCTGAATATAACATACCCTGTATGACTGAAATTTATTTAAAAGACAAGCAGGCTGATGAACCAACCGTTGGTTGGAAGCACGTAAAGCCACTTGGAGTGTATGACTGGAGGAGGCGTGGCGCACATTGGAGATAGTTTAGTATCGCTCTGAAAAGAGCGGAATGCGATGACGCAGCCAAAGTGAATTGGTGCACACTGATGAAGCACCTTCCTTTCCCTTCCATCGAAGGGACATTTAACCGCCCAAAGTGCTAGCAGCGCCCCCACCAGCTGCCGCTCGGCCACGCACTTCAAGTGGGTTTTTCATATTGGTGGAGACTGTATATCTTCGACAGAAATATTAGCTCGCCATGTACGAGCCACACTTTTTACGGCTCTTTTTGACATGTCTGGATGTTTGTGCCCACCTATGCATGTAGCATTGTTCTTTTCGAGTTGAATTGTGCCAAACTCGAAGCATTTCCCAAAGCTCTTCGCACTTTCATCGTGGGAAGCGGTACGGCGTGCCAGACATGAAACAGTGCTCACCTGGATCAGGGATACTGCCCCTTTCGCTTTAAGGCTGCTGGACGACCCGAATTCGACTATGGACGTCGCCCGTCTTCGGGAGGAAAAGGATGTCTTAAGCCCCAATGAATTCTGCATTGCCGTGCTTCGAGAGGTCCACCAGACCCTCCTCTGCATCGGCCATATCTGCGACTTGCCGCAGGCTGCAACCGCAGTGGTGAGGCTTGTTTCTTTCTCAACTCTGTAACAAAGTCGGTTATTACGAAATAGCGGCTACAGCAAGGCGATCATGATTTCCCATTCCCGTTTGTACTTATTAAATATATTTGTGTTTGTTTTGAGCGAATGAAATTGAGTGTCTTCCGCGGAAATAGTGAAGATAAATTATGAAAGTCTATCACTGCGGCCGAGCAGCCACCCAGAACGGGCCGCAGACAATGCTGCAAAGGCAGCCGGTGGCAGCCGTTACATCGTCATCTGCTCCCCTCCCCGCTCCTTATCTGGAAAGCTGCTTTTCCGCATAGCACGCGGAGAAGTCGTCGGGATAGGGACGTTTGGAGCACTAGCGATGACATACAGACGGGGACAACAGAGATTGAATCGAGCCTAGATTTATAGGGGAGCAACTCCAACCATGGAGAGCCTTTGCAATTTAACGGCGGATGCCCCCTGGGCAAATTGGTGGAAGTGTGCCTGCATTTAATTGTGTATGGCCAGCGTGGCAAGGAAACCAAGCAGAGAGGCTGCAGCTCATTTTGCAAACACGGCTCACAAACACCGATAAACACGAACTTGAGTGTGAACTCGGTGCTGTGTAAGCTTCTTTGTTTGCTTCTTGTTCCGTGTCTGCGTCGCTAGTCGGTGTGGTCGCTCACTGGACAAAAGTAAGTTTGCTGCTCAAGCGCCGATTCGGCGAATCATTGGCACTCAACGATGGAGAATCCCGGCACTGCTATGGGGAAGACGAAGGCAATCTTCTTGAAACAAAAACGTGCCATCCTGGATGAAGCGCGCATAAATGTAAGGAATGCCGTCCACCGCCGATATCCTTCGCGGCGGCCGTCGCAGCTGTCGATACGGTCCGTATCGATACGGTCCGTTTCTCGATTGGAGCTTTTCGCAGTTCACAGAAAGCAACTCCGATCTAGCAGAGAGTGCATGCGGGGAAGCCTCGACCCCTTTCTGCAGGCATTAAACATCTGTCGTGACGGACTGCGTATTCTCTTTTATGTGTGTTACTTTTATGGAGTCCAGTTATAACAGAAGAGCGGATAAAGAGAAATGACTTTTGATTCTCATTGACTTCGTTATAACTGGTCTTGACAGTACTTCATTTCACCAAATTTTGGCATTGAGCGAACGCTACGGCCCCTTCAAGCCAATAGGCCTATTGCTACATTACCCAAGCTCCAAGGAGAATGCAGGGAATGGTATTCCACGCGCCACGCCACACGCCTTCCCCGTATAAAAGACTCCAAGTAAATAACCAAAATAAAGCATTGACAAACGCACGTGCAAGATGCAATTTGTGTTAGGCATTTGTTTTAGAAAATTTACTACTGCTGACGCCAGCACGTGCAGCGCATGGAACACCAATCCCTACATTCTCCTTGATGCTTAGGTAACATAGCAATAGGTCTATCGGAGCAACGGAGGCGAAGCATGAGAGCCTTACCAAAGGCGCGGGGGAAGAGGGCGTATCCCAAACAGTTGGAGAAGGGGAAAAGGAGGAACTTTTTCCTTTTGTGTGTCCCAGACATTGCCTTTTTCCCCCTGGAAGATTCGGCTAACTTTCTAAATTTTCACAAATGCGGCTTTGCTCTCTCTTTCCCCGTGGCTTTGACAGCACTGTGTGCGACAAGTGAGATAGAGTATTGTCATGTGGCTTTCTTCTACACGCTGATTGGCTCACTGGGACCGTAGTCTTCACCATTTGCCAAGTTATGGTTAGACAAACTGTACAATTTCTGTTTGCCTATTCGAAATATATTACTTGCCCTGTTGACGGATTGTGGAGGAAATGCCACAAATTCCCACTGCGTTATATTTTATTTTCGAAATTGTGTCTTGCAGTCCCCCAGTTCGAATGCTGCTGCTCTATTCCACCTGTGCCTTGAAGTGTGGTGGTCTGCGTTTCAAGTCGCAGACAGGATTGCGTCGTCCGCTATCCTCAAAGGTTGAGTAAATTTAGTTGTCCTTATTGCAGTAAGGCTTCAGTGTCGAAACGTGGTTGTGATGTTTGTGGATATGCACCTTGCCCATGTACTTCAGTGTAGTGCTTGACATTGCTTTCTTTGTTTAACATCATTTGGTCAAGCATGGGACTTTAGAAAGTTCTTTCCTCGTGTAGCTGTGCGTGCAAACAAGATGTTTCACCAAGCTACTGTCTTGTGTTTGTGCCTTTGATAATATTGCAGACTTGTGAGATGGTGAGATTAGACTCATGGGCGATAAATATACATTTATTGGCGTGCGGTGGACAACGTCTGCTCCTCTCTCCTTGAAATGCTTTTCCTTGAAAGACATTTCAAGGAAAGACATTTTCTTTTAAGGAAATGTTTTTCAAGGAAAGTTTGTGGTTGACAGACATAGTTTTAAAATCCCAGCCTGCGCACTTCACAAGTTGGTTTCCTCCTGATGGTATTATGAGCAACTCTGTGCTCTGCACTCTGTGCTCTGCAAAGATTGTTGATTGTTTCAGAGGCAAGGGTAGGCAAACCGTCCGGCATTTACAGGAAGCGACGCGGACGTGTGCTTCTGCGACTTGGATGCTTTCGGGCAGAGCGGCCCATTTTCTCAAGTGGCCGTGATATTGCTGTGGGACTTGTGCTGCCTGGCATCCAGGAGTTACGGAACGGTCCGTGTGGTCACTCGCTCTTCGTGCATGGCTGACTTGTTTGAACGTTTTCAATGCTGACTGCAGAAGCTTTCCCATCATAGTGTCACTGCCAGTGTGCATACATTGAGGGGGTCATAGAGGTCTCTTTTCATCTTAAAAAACTTGGTTACTTCTAGGATTGTGCGAATATTCCAATTTTCAAATGGTGGTTTCGAATAATACACTATTCAATATCAGCTTCAAAATAAACTGCAATATATATTTTTATGTTGATTGTGGCAGGTTAGTTCCATTATGCGCTTTTTACCGAGCACTGGTGTACTGCAGAGAAGCAACACTCAGGGGAGCGGGCTCCATGGGTGTTGCTTCTGTGCAGTGCACGAGTGCTTGGTAAGAAGTGGCTAACACACCGCGATCAGCCCTTTGGAAAGTATGAATATTGCAGTCACGTGCTTAGGAGAAAAGCACGCATCCAAAGCGGGATGATGTAGGCGCGTTCCTGATGTATTTAAAAAGGAGTGGGAACTTTGGTGAATGATGCAAGGGTATATATGTTAGACAGTGATGTCCTAACAACTTGCATTTATCAATTTTGAGACTGAAAAAGGGTACTTTCATATAGTTTGTGACAGGTTAGGAGTTCAGGGGAAGCTTCTCCCACCTTTTTCTACTTTAGCAGAGTAAATGCTGGAGAGGAGGCGACCTTATATCTGGCATTTGCTCTGCTAAAGTGGAAAGAGGTGGGAGGAGCTTCTTCTGAACTCTTAGCCTGTTACCGACCATAGATTTATAAATTCCTCGAAAAAGCATAACTCGGCATCTCCATAGGTTAAATTTTATGTCTAATCTGTCGTTTATTTGCCTCCCCAATGTAGGCATTGGACTTCCTGAGGCCACAGTAATATAAAAAAAATATTGCCGTAATATCCCGAGTCATCGCCATCCTTAAGTCATTGCCCACCCACTTTTTGGGCTAATATCAATTTCCAGAAAAACGCCAAGTTATCGCCCACTCCTACAAATACCCCAACTTGGACTCCGCAATCCGCAAGCATTCATCCCACTTGAATGATGCGGCTGTGGACCTTACAGTTCGAGGACCTCTGTGACAAAGTAAAACGAAGGAGGGGAAAACACTTCACTTTGTTTACGCATTTCCTCTGCGAGTGACCCCGAAGTCATAGTGGATTTGTGTGAAAAGAAAACATTGCAGATAACGAGATAATGAAATGAAAGTTTGTTTTGCGTAGCAAAAATTCCTCCCGACAAAAAAGAAAAAAGTTTGAAAGATTACATAACCGGTAACCCATTCAGGGATCGCGAGGTAAACAAACGCCCTATATCCTGGAATGTAACCGAGGAGTGTAAGGTCAAGGTCTGTCCCCAATGAAGCAAGGTCGCCACGAACCCGCTCCTTCTCCCGGCACGTCGCGACCACGGTTGTGCAGTGTTTAAGACAAAGCCAACGGGTAAATAAAGCTTGGCTGGAACGCTGTACAGAGACGTTTGTAGAGTGTCCAATTTCGAGTTCTGTGTTCATGGTGCCGTCCACACCCCGCAGCAATGCCGCCTTAACCCGTGTGGATGGCACGCCGTGCATGGACGCACGCATGTATGCACCAAACAAGAAAGCTGCACAACAGCTTGCAATTGACAAGGCGTTGGCTTGGCCCGACGCCAAAGTATTTGCCAACGCCATTGCCGGCTTTCCTGCTTCCCCAGCATTGCTCTTCGTCGCTTCTTTTGTCCGCCTACTCGCTTTCTCGTTGCGCCTGGTTGGTTTTTCTATTTTCTTGTGGACATTTTTATTTTTTCTAACGAGGAGAACATAGCGGTGTTGGAAGCATGCTTTCACGAAACAAACGTTCATGCTGTATGCCGATTGACGGTGTTCGTAGCGTGTATGCAAGCAACGGACTTCGCAATAGTAAATTGTTCTTTCATGTTTTGAGTTTAATGCATCTCTTGTGTAGTCGCGCTCGATAGTACAGGAAAGTGGGCGTTTTAGTTTTCTGCTTTTCTTTTCCAACTTTTTGTGCTCACTCACCGAGACGTGGCCCACCCCACTTTTTCTTATGAATTTCAGGCGGCAGGGGGGTGGGCGATGACTCGGGATATTACGGTAGTTATATTAAAATTAGCTGAAAAGTGGACAAGTGGAAGCTTGGGAACAACCTTCTTGAGTTCAGCTAGCTTTTCGTTTAAACATGGTGCAACAATGGTGAAAGTCTTGAAAAAACTATTCCCTATTGGAAATACACCTTTCAGCCCTGATTTGTTATGGGACCCTCTCAGTGCTTAAACCCCTTCAGCTCGTCAGACCGTTCCGCCCGTCAGACCCTTCAGCCAAAACCCCCTTAGCCCATCAACCCTTTAGACCCCCCAAATGACTGAACCATAGACAAAAGATGCAGTTTTGAACATTATTGAAAATTTATTTCAGACATTGGGTTTTACATGCATGGTGTAACTCAAAAAGACGATAACTAACGTTTGCTCAAACCTGGGCGCAAGCAGCTGTAGACGAAAGCTATCGGATCAAATAGAGGCAACCGAGTTTTTTGTCTCAAAAGAATGTCTTTGAAAGAACTCGCAATGCCGCTGGGTAAATTCCTGATATATGATAATTCAACTGATAAAACCAAGCAGTTGCACCACACAAACACATACACACCGCCAGTAAGCACGTTTAGTGAAAACCCCAAACGTGCAACCAACATCTGCCCCCATCGAGAAATCCTGGACACAAACATGGTGTCATCCTTGATGCCGCCATGGCGGCGTTTTCTGCGTCTTTTTCGCTCGCTGGATGCTTCTGAAACCAAACGGAAGAGAAGGTGTGACAGGGCTGGATAGTGGCCGTCATCCACGGTATTGGGACCTGCAGTGCCATGACCTCAGTGCACAGGCAGTACATGCAGTGGGACGCTGACCCCGACTGCCAGGCTTGCAATGAGCGAGCTGACAGCGGCCACCTCCTCTTGGAATGCGCACCGAACACGACGTTCGAGCGGTGCTGTAGGCAGCCTACGCCGCACTGGGGTTCACCTGTGGAACCAAGGAAGAAACCACATGGATCAATACAGGGATCTTGCCTCACAATAAGACAGAGCAGACTGGATCGTGACTACTGCGTTCGACTTCCAACGCCGCTTGGCCAGGGCTTCGTCAATTCTCCACATGGGGTGGTTGCCCTCGGTCGCCTCCTTGGCGACCTGACACCCAGGCAGTGACAGACGGGCCTATGGCCCCACACCCATGATTGCCTCTGTTTCCTTTTCCAACTATACATCGCCTATACACACGCAAACATCTCAATTTCTAAAACTCGTGGCCGCCCGATTACAAAATGGCTAGGCGGCTTCCCTGACGCATATATGCTGAAGGGTCACGTGATCTCTACTACAACCCTGTTGAAACGATTTTGATGAGTGGTGTGGTTTCATGGATAGGATTGGGTCAGAATGACGGTTAAGAGTTGAACGTGTTGATACATACTTGTCAATATATCAGCTTGAACTTCAAGCAGATATACTTGCAGTGATTGCGACAGACCACACAGGCCTCTCTAAAAGTTATGACGGGTCTCTTGCACCCTTTAGGAATTCTTAAGGGGTATGTCAGGGTCTTTAGAAAACTTTGATGGACATCTCAAACACATCAAACATCTTTGATGGGTATGTCAGAACATTTGAAAAATCCTAGTGAGCCCCATAGATGGATACTCAATAGGGTTTGCTTAGAAAGTATATGTTAGGCCAAAACCGGTATTTGCTTTGAATTTGCTTCGAATTAGCTTGAAACTCTGAATTTACCATTTGCATATGTCTACTTACTGAACAGTTTTGATATCCTCCTCTCTTGCATTAGATACTTGTTCTTTTTTTCTCAACTTGTTTTTTTTTTCACTCTTTTCTCAATCTTTAATACTTGGTGTGTTTACAGTCCTGGGATTAGGATAGCTCCCCAAAGAGCCAATGTTGCGCTATGGTTTCCATTTTTTCCGCATCTTGCCAGAGCTCTGTGGCAGCAAGTGAGAGGCGGGCGTTCTGCTGTGACTGTGTGCGGCACCTCTGGGAAATGGTCATGGACGTCATCCACCGGAGACAGGAGCACCATGGAGAAGAGGTGGGCCACCCAAACCTCAGGCTCGCCTTGCGGGAGCAGGATTATTCCCTGCTCCCGTTTTTTTTTATCTGGACGTGCATCCTACATATGTGGACATGCAATTTCTTCTAGTATCTGGTGAACGTTAAGGACCCCAAATTAGCAGTCATACTGCATTGATCGAATTGCACATCTATAGCAGAGACACCAGACGCCATTTTAAGGGAGGGCTACTTGTTGCTGCCTCTCTGCATCAAATTTTATTTTTTTACGTAGACTTAGTGTGTGAGCTTTGAATCCTCTTTATATACCGTAAAATGCTAGGCAAGCGCCCACTCAAAATTCAGAGATAATCGCGAAAAAATGGGGAATGGGCGCTTGTTCGGTCGTCAATTTTACATATAAGTGTACTGTACATATTTTCTCAGATCTTAGAAATTTGTATTTGGGCACTTAATGTAAAATGGGTGGATGGGCGGTATCCTACGGTAGGCTTATTTTGGGTTACTTTTTTTCTCAAGCAAAGTTTCCAAATGTATGTTTTGTTCAGTAGGATGGGAGTGAAATAGCTTTTTCTTTTAGAAATTTCGGACAACATTCTGGCTTGCTTATATACTCCAGAGCAGGGAATGCAGCTTGGATCGCGCTCAAGCTGGGTTCCCTGGAATGCAATGTTCCTCGAGCACCCAAATTTGTTTTCTGTAGTCCCTGCCCTTGAGGAAAATGTTTCTCCACTTTAAATATAGTTTGGGCATAGGTAGCTGAGCGAAGCATCCATGCATGACTGCGAGTTGGCTGCCTTTCTCTTTTGTTTGCACATTATCAGTGCCGGGCTTTGTAAGCCTCTCAAATCTTTCATCGCGAGAAATTCGAGAGAAGTGGGGTGTTGCCCAAAGTTGAGACGCTCGTTCGTAAGAAAAACAAGGGAGTTTTCGTTTGTCGATTGTAGTACAACGTTGCGTGCCTCTCTCGCTCTGGATCAATCTCTGCAGCCATTTTGGGCATACCTCAACTTGGTACTGGAAGCCCTGTGCCGTGGCAGCCCTACGGAGCCGGGGGGAGATGTGGGTGAGGGACTTTGCTCTCTTCTGTCGGTGGGCAAGCAAGGGCTGTGTCTGACTCTCGGCTTCCCCGCAGGAAAATTCAACCTCTCCTCGCTCGCCTGTGCAACCGGCGGCGACGCCTGCACCCCCGCGTTCTGCCTCTGGCTTCTGACCAGCGTTGCCGAGGTCGACGGCGGGTGCATGTGGAAAAAGGTGGGCATGCACCTCTTGGCGTGAAACAGTCGCCGACAAAATAAGAACGGCGAAAAGCGTCTTTCGAACGCTTACTGCCTGTCTGCATCCATGCACTCTGTGCCTTCTGCCCTGCCTTGGCTGCGCGTGCGCGCAAGGTGCGCAAGATGGCTGAAGCGTTGTCGAAGGTACAAAGCTCGCACCGGACACAGGACAACTGAAACTCCTCCCCGTCATTGTCACCCGTCAGTGTCTTTAGCATGTTTTTTTTTTGATAAACCGCCTACCTGTCTAGGAATATTGCCGGTTTCCACCCCAGTGAATTTTGTCACCTCAAAAAATGGCGATCCATCTAAAATTTAAAAAAAAGAAATGAAAGGGAGAAGGAGAAAAATTTTAATAGTTTTTTAAAGCAGATGTTGCACCCTTCACGTGGTGTTCCAATGTTTCCGAAATACTACGACCCCTACCTTAATATCCCTTGAGATGCCCCACCCCCGAAAGGTACCCCACGCCTGAAAAGTAACCCGCCCCTAATTTCGGTTTGATTTGCTATTTTCTTTTAAACACCGAAAGATAGCTTACTCCTAATAAATGTGTTCGGATCAAGGATGACCTTGCCGTGACTGCATCTAGTTAGCTGTGGCAAGAAATAAGCAAACATTGCTCACTGGGAAGTACAGTCATCTTTAGTTTATTGCCCCTCACCACAATAACAAGTTTCACAAAGACACATAATCTAAAAATGGCATTTTTTCAACTTTTCTTGATTGCACACCGAAAGGTAGCCCACTCCACGGTAGATCTAAAACCAGTCGTTCATCTTTTTTATCGGTCCGCGGGGTTTTATGAAAGAGTAGGCACATGCAGCGACTTCCTTCACGGTGGCTTCTCAGAATCCACGTCCATCCATCAGGTTCTCTGAGCAATCTAATTGGCTAACTCCTAATGTTGGCAGTGTGACGACCCTAAAATCTTTGTCTTGGTCACTAAATTGTCACGGGCTCTGTCGCTGGAGTGAGGCACCCAAGACTGTCGATAACAAAAAATTGCAACTTTATATAGGTAGCGAAATATTTACGGCATACAGTGGCTCACACTCGCAAAAAAATTAGGAATGTTCCGGCCGAGTTCTACGCTACTACGCGATAAGGAGTTCCAAAGGCGAACACTCACACACTTGGATGACTCTGCTTGGGTGGAGTCTTGATGGGAACTTGGACGTCTCGGTGGTTGTGCTGAAGTTGCGCCGAGTCCAGGAACGTCGAAACTCTCGATGATGTTACCCCGCAGCCTCACCGACTCCCTTCGTTCCGCTTCCCACCGGCCACACCTCGCCTCCCACCCTTTATGTCCGCCGCCCGAAAGAGAGCTCCCCGCTGGGCTTTCTTTCCTTTTTGTTGCCTTCTTCCGGCTTGTCCATCTCCCCCATCGGAGGGTAGACGTTTAGCAGTTTGGTCCATTTCACCCATCGGAAAGTAGATGCCCAGCAGTTTTAAAGGGGTACATCTGCATTCCTCACCACTCCCGAAGGGCCCTTCCTTGCTTGCTTCGCTCTTCTTCCCTCTTGCCACCTCTCTCCCTGTCACACGCGCACACACGCCCACGCGCACATCGATGACGGACTGTGAGGCGCACCTCACAGTTTAGGAGAGAATCCGCTCTGTTCAACACACACACACAGACGGCTAACTGTGAGGAATCATCAGACGGGAATGTCACAGCAGCACGCCTCTGGTGCTTCAATTTCTTTCCCTGGGGTAAAGATTTCCATAGCACGATGAAAAGGTTCCAGACTGGGTAATCTATGGACTGTGACGCCATGTGTCCTGCCAGCCTTGTCTGTACTTTGCTGCCTTGCTGTGATGGTCCCATTCAACAGCCATTTCTGACCCATCCCCCCCTCCAGCTCAACTTTCTTTTAGGCAATGTATTGATTTCTAAATGCATCGGCAGCATTGCCGAGTTAGCAAAATTTGTGCCATGCTCTATGGTTACCTGTTTAGCCTCTGTTTACGCATAGAATGGAAAAACAATTTGAATTTTAGCCTTTGTCTATGTAGGTCAGTGTGCCGGGCGTTTGGGAGAACAGAGAGCCATGTTTTTCTCACCTGGAATATAAACTATGCATCAATGAATGCTCAGTCTCCTCCAAAAGGCGCCTGTAGCAGTTGGGACTAAATGCCGAAGTTTCAGAATTTACTGTTATCTGAGTAAAAAGTTACCAGCGATTTTTGAAGAGAAAATGGTGGCCAACAAAGCCTGCGAATGGGTGGAGATAAATGATGTCAGATGCTGGGAACAGGTCTCATTTTATCATTGAAACTTTAAGAAAATCGCTCTAAACTTTTCAATTACATTAATGATAAGTTCTGCGGCACCTGGTTCCAACCCCTTCCGCTACATTTGCGTAGACTGAGCATTTGGGCATGCATTATTCTTTTTTGCGGTGAGAAAAACTATTTTTTTCCTCTAAACACTTGGTACTATATCAGAGGTCATGGTAGTTTTCTGCAAATTTAGGCAGATGCCCAATGTTTTTCGTTTAATTGGTACTTATATACCTAACTTATACTTAATCCTGCACTGTCACTTTTTGCTTGAAAGCTGAATTAACATTTAACTAGTTGCTTTAATGAATGCATATATGCAGCAGCATAGACTCCATTTTCCCGGGGGGGTTTGCACAATTTTTTTTACACCGGCAATTATCAGTAGTTTATTTTAGGGGGTACATTTTACAGCGTATGTATATCGCCATGAGTCCGTCGCTGTGTGTTATTTTGTTTACATACCACTACTAGAAGCTCGTTACATGGCACGTAAACAGCGTCTCAATAAGGATCATGGCCCGGGGGCAGCTCTACCCCCCCCGGGATCTCGCCAGGGGGGGAAGCACAAGCACTAAAGCCCCCCCCCGTAGTCTACGCCTATACATATATGTAACATTGTGATGTATGCCAGAAATACAGGCATGTAGTTGTCGGTCCACTTCTATTAACAAACTACCAACATTAAAAAGCAATTTGTCATTTTTTTGGTCAAAACCAGTTACTCATAACTTGTTGTCATATTTTACTGTTTCTTAATTCTTTTTTAGGGCAAAAGCAATTATGTCATGGCCAAGAAGTTTGTGCAGTCAGCAACAACGAACCATGTAAGTCTACTGCTTCATGATTGCTAGGTTGCATATTCTCACTGCATCATTGAGCCCTTGATGGTCATTCTTCCATATGGTTTTGTCATGAATTTTGAAAATAATTGTCGTGGTCTGCTCGATCAGCAACTGATTTTTAAGCTAGAACATTAGAAATTGTCCCGTGGTTACTTCATGACCCTCGTTTTTTTGTATTAGGTAACCTCCACTTTTGGAGTGCAGCTCTTAGGCGCCCGTTTCCAGGTTGAGTGGCATCGCTGTCAACATAACTGCGCATGTTGCATTATGGGAATAATGCAACCAAGCTAAACTGTGCATTGTGTTATGGGAAAATTGCCACATTAAATTTAGCGGGAAAAACTTTTGCCGAAGTTCCCTGCTAAATTTTTTTCCCCGCTAAATTTACCGGGGAATTTTCACAGATATTTTCTTGTTTCCCCGCTAAGTGTAGCGGGGAAATTTTCTCACTAAATATAGTGGGAAATTTTTCCGGTAAATTTAGTGGGAAGTTTTTTCGGCAAATTTAGCGGGAAAATATTTGATAAATTTAGCAGGGCAAATTTTCTGCCAAAGTAGTGGGAGCATTTTCGTAAAATTTCCCCGCTTAATTTAGCAGGGAGGAGGTGGGCAAGGTATGGAAGGGGAGGAGAGCATAGCCTCCCCTTCTCCTCCTTAAGAGCTGTGTTGTAATTTTGTGTTACAGAGAATTGGAACTGTCTTTAATTTTTAGCTACCATTATTTGCAAATCACTTGTAGTGGGCTTATATCCCTGTCAGACGAGCACCTAAAAGGACCTTTACGCCAAAGGACCTTTAGTGTAAATGTCATTTAGGCAGTGCCATACGGCAAATCAAATGGCATTTAGCGTGAAGGTCCTTTTCGTGAACCTGAGTTCTCACAACTCCTTTACGGCGGCTAAAGGCCTACTCTCGTCAGCAGCGGTCTACACTGGAGAAGTGAATAGAAATAAAGGATCGTACAGATATCTAAAATCAATGCGTCTGCATTTTTATTATTGAAAAAGAGCGTGTTTCACGTATATTCTGCACAAATCTCTCTCTACTAATAGTTTTCCGTACTCACGGCCCCAGCTATCTAGTAGGCCTCATCGTCCCGCTGCTCGCCTGCTCGCGTGGTTCGCTTCGGCACTTCGGTTTTTCTCCTCTCGATTTTCCTTACAATCATGGTTATCTAGCTTTTATTTCTCCACTTTATAATTTATCATCCTTTAATAGTGTATTGCTAACTGTTTTTTTTTACATAAATATTTCTGTATCTCACTCTCGCGTCGTGTGACATGTCGAACAACGGAGGAGTGTCCACTACTAGGAAGGAACCACTGCGCTTCCATTGGACAGTTGAGGCGACCTGGGTGCTGATACGACTTTGGGAGCTTCTAATGTTTTAGGGCTTCTACTAGCCTTGAAATAAATAAATGCTTGTTTTTAAATGTGACTTCTAGATTTTGCACATTTTTATTGTTTCGTCTTAATACTTCTTATATGACTGTTTTAAGAGGAAACAATGCAGACTGGGGAAAATGTGCGCAGCAGTTTGAAATTTAAGAAAAAGAAGAAAATTGACTGCCAGGCATGAGAGATTGCTATTCTGTAGTGTTGTGCAAATACAATTCGAAAGTTTGAATAGTAGTTTCAAATAATATACTATTTGATATTCGCTTCGAGATGCACTGCAGTATTCATATTTTTCGAAGTGTTGATCGCGGCGTGTTAGCTTTGTTGAGCACAAGTGCACTTCATAAGAGAAGCAACAGCCTTGGAAGCGAGCTCTGCAGGCGTTGCTTCTCCGCAGTGAAACTGTGCTTTGTAAGAAGTGCACTCAACGTGGTAACCCGCTGCGATCAACACGTGGAAAAGTATCAATATTGAATTGTGTGCTTGGGAGAAAAGCACACTTTCAAAGTGGGATGGCACACATGTGTGCTTGGTGTATTCAAAAAGAAACAGAAACTTTGTGATCGTTGATATCTACATTGCAGCAAAAGTTTAAAAATTAAATTGTGGCTGTTTCGCGAGAGTATATGTTAGGCAGAGATACCCTGACAACTTGCATTCATCATTTGTGATTTTCTTTTTTTTCTTTCAAATTCATTGAAGAAGTACTATTTGCATATAGCAAGATTTGTAAATCCACTCAATTAGGTATAGCTGGGCATCTCTATAGGTCTAATTCCATGTCAAATCTGTCGTTTACTTGCCATCCCAAGGCATCAGACTTTCTGAGGTTATAGTTCCTAAATAAAGTTGCTGGCGGATTAATACCAGCTTATAAATGAACAAATGGAAGCTGGGTTTTCGCTTAAGCATGACACAACTGTAGTGAAAGGCTTGGAAAAACTATTTGATATTGTCACGGGTGGTGACGAATAAACAAGAAATAAACAGAAATAAATAAACGTTTAATGTGGCGAACTTGTGCCAAAAATAAAGAAGGAAACAGAAGAAAGCAGAGCGTCGCGGGCGTCGAAGTCGGCGTGTCAGCAGAGTCGAACGCTGGGGCGAAACTGACTCGACAAGGTCGCGGGCGGCCTCTTATCTAGAGTGCGTCGCTATCTCGAAGATTCGGCGAAAGCGGCTCGAGCGTCGCGTGATCGGGGCGAGAATGAACACGCACTTTTTAGAAAACAAAAGCAGGAATAAATGATAGAAGTTACAAGCGGTACATGAATAAACGAGAACTTTCTGGAGGTCCATGACCGAGCGTTGCTTTCTCAGCCCTGGGCGCGGCATTATCCCCCCCTTTAAAAGTGCATCGTCCCGATGCAGCACAAAAACGAAAAACAAAAAACAAAAGGACAGCAGAATTGCTAGCCGGAGTTCATAGTTCACAGTTCACTCGTCGACGAGAGTGGAGAGTCCTATCGTTCGTAATACGGCTTCAGCCGGACGACATGCACCACCTCGGGTCGCGGCTGACGTCTTGCAGATGGGCGCGTTCCGTCGGGTAGAACTTCGTAGTTCAGATCGCCGAGGCGTCGGATGATCTTGTAGGGCCCAAAGTAGCGCTTCAGGAGTTTTTCGCTGAGACCGCGACGACGAATCGGCGTCCACACCCAAACTCTGTCTCCGGGCTGAAAGTGGACGTCGCGGCGACGAAGATTATACCGGCGAGCGTCGACATGTTGCTGGTCTTGAATTCGTAGTCTGACTAGCTGGCGGACCTCTTCTGCCCGTTGAGCAACCACCTGGGCGTCATCGCTCCCGTCGTTGACTGACTCGTGCGGCAACATAGAGTCTAGCATAGTCGTCACCGCCCGGCCATACACCAGCTGGAAGGGCGTCACTCCTGTGGTCTCTTGCACTGCTGTGTTGTAGGCGAACGTGACGTAGGGCAGCACTACGTCCCAGGTCTTGTGCTCCACGTCGACGTACATAGAGACCATGTCGGCGATTGTTTTGTTGAGCCGCTCCGTCAACCCGTTGGTCTGCGGATGGTATGCCGTTGTTCGACGGTGTTCCGTGTGGCTTAGACGCAGGATCTCTTGGGTCAACTGTGCCATAAACGATGACCCTCGGTCTGTGATCAGTACTTCGGGGGCGCCATGGCGGAGGACGATGGACTCGATGAAGAACTTGGCGACTTCGACAGCAGTCCCCGAAGGAAGGGCTTTCGTCTCGGCGTAACGAGTAAGATAATCGGTGGCGACGATTATCCAGCGGTTCCCCATCGTCGACGGTGGAAAAGGACCCAGCAAATCCATTCCAATTTGCTGGAAGGGCTTGGTTGGCGGGGTAATCGGCTGAAGGAGACCTGCTGGCTTTGACGGTGGTTTCTTGCGTCGCTGGCACTCATGGCACGATCGTGTGTAGAGATGGACGGTCTTCGGAAGCTTTGGCCAGTAGTACTTGTCACGAATCCGGGCAAGGGTCCTGCTGTAGCCGAGATGTCCGGCCGTTGGGTCGTCGTGGCACGCTTGAAAAATTTCTTCTCGGAGGCTGGCGGGGACAACCAGTAGCCAGGGGGTTTCGCTGGTTCCGAAATTCTTTCTGAAGAGCACGCCTCGCCGCAGGACAAAGCTCGGTAGGTCCCGAGAAAAGACCCGTGGGACAGAGCCTCCTCGACCTTCGAGGCTGTCGATCAGGGAGCTAAGTTCCGCGTCGTCGCGTTGCAGTGCCCTCATGTCGGTAGCGTCAACTGCGCCTAGAAAACGGGCGTCGTCATCGTCGTCCACGCCGGAGATTGAAGGTTCGACTGGAGCCCTAGACAAACAGTCAGCGTCATTATGCTTGCGGCCGGACTTATGCACGATGGTTACGTCGAATTCCTGCAGTCGAAGGCTCCAGCGGGCGAGGCGTCCGGACGGATCCTTGAGGTTTGCGAGCCAGCAGAGGGCGTGGTGGTCTGTGACCACGCGAAACGGGATCCCGTACAAGTACGGGCGGAACTTGGTTATCGCCCAGACGACAGCAAGACATTCTTTGTCGGTCGTTGAATAATTTTGTTCTGCCTTAGACAGCGCCCGGCTTGCGTAAGCGATTACTCTCTCTGCTCCTCCTTGTCGCTGAACGAGTACCGCACCGAGACCGGTATTGCTGGCGTCCGTGTGGATTTCAGTCTCCGCCGACTGGTCAAAATGTCCGAGGATAGGGGGCGACTGGAGCCTTCGCTTGAGTTCGTCGAACGCTTGCTCTTGCTCCTCTCCCCACTGGAACTGCACGTCGTCTTTCGTCAGATGCGTCAGCGGTGCAGAAATTTGCGCAAAGTCACGAACGAAACGTCTGTAATAGGCGCACAGCCCAAGGAATCTTCGAACGGTCTTCTTGTCGGATGGCTTCGGGAACTCGGCGACAGCGGACGTCTTGGCGGGATCAGGGCTTACACCCTGAGCACTCACGACGTGGCCCAAGAATTTGAGCTCACCATAGGCGAACCGACACTTGGAAGGCTTGAGGGTCAGCCCAGCAGCTTTGAAGGCCTGTAGCACGGCTCGCAGTCGTCTCAGGTGCTCGTCGAATTCGCTTGCGAAGACCACAACATCGTCGAGGTAGACGAGACAGCTTTGCCATTTCAAGCCGGCAAGGACGGTGTCCATAACGCGCTGGAAGGTTGCCGGCGCTGTGCACAGCCCGAACGGCATTACTTTAAACTCATACAGTCCGTCCGGCGTGACGAAGGCCGTCTTCTCACGATCTCGTTCGTCGACCTCAATCTGCCAGTACCCGCTCTTCAAGTCCATCGACGAAAAGTATCGGGCGTGGCGTAGTCGGTCCAGGGTGTCGTCGATGCGTGGCAGTGGGTAGACGTCCTTTTTTGTTACGGCGTTCAGTCGGCGATAGTCCACGCAGAACCGAAGAGTCCCGTCTTTCTTTTTCACCAGGACTACCGGTGAAGCCCACGGACTCCTGGAGGGCTGGATAATGTCGTCGTCAAGCATTTCTTGTACCTGCTGCTGGATGGCTTCCCTTTCTTTCACGGAGACCCTGTACGGCGGCCGATGCACAGGGAGTGCGTCGTCATCAGTAATTATCCGATGTTTCGCAACCGTCGTTTGGCGCACTTTCGACGACGTGGAGAAGCACTCACTGAACTCGGCGAGAAGGTCACGAAGTTGTCGTCGTTGTGGGGCTGGGAGGGATGGGTCGATGTCGAGCTCTGAGGACGTGATTGTCTTCTTCTGCGTCGGAGAGGCGTCTTCTGAGATCACGGCGATCGCGGCTGAGTCTTCAATTTCCTCGACGTAGCCCACAGTTGTACCCTTTGTAAGGTGCTGCGACTCTTGCCGGAAATTGGTGACAAGGGCTACTGTACGCCCGTCCTGGAGCTCGGTTACGCCTCTTGCAATGCCAATCCCTCGTCCGAGGAGAAGTTGGACGCTTCCTTCCAGCAGTGCTACACCGCAGGTGGCTCCTTCGGTCCCGACGGGCACAAAGACACTCGACAGCGGCGGCAGGTTTACGTGGCTGGCGAGGACTCGCACTGCAGCTAACGTCGGTTTGGTATTTTCCACCGATGGGGCAGGCTTCCGAAGCGTCAGCTTGTTCTCCGCAAGGTCGATGATGGCGCCGTATTCACACAGGAAGTCCATTCCGAGAATGACGTCCCTCGAACAGTCTTGCAAAACGACGAACTTCACAGGGCATGTTTCGCCGTGAATCTCGACGCGAGCGGTGCATCTCCCGACTGGTGTAATCAGGTGTCCTCCGGCGGTTCTTATTTGTGGTCCATCCCACGGCGTCATGACTTTTCGAAGGCGGCGAGAGAGCCTCCCACTCAAGACTGAGTAGTCTGCTCCGGTGTCCACGAGTGCAGATGCGTCGTGGCCGTCGATGACGACGTTTAGGTTATTGGACACCACTGCAGCGGCGTCTTTTTGGTCTTTGGTAGCGTTCGAGTGGGGGCCCCCCGACGTTCGTGGAGGATCTTGGCGTCGGTCGTCTTCGGCAACTCCACCTCCAGGGGTTGCCGCGCCTAGTTTCCCCGGCGAGGAGCGAGGGGGGACAGGCTTTCACGTCGCGGTCGGTGCATCGGCGAAGCTGGACGTCCCGGTGACGGCGACCGGAACTCTCGGCGGGACGCAGGCTCGGGGGACTGAGGTCGTCGCAGGTACTCGTCGATCTCGATAGGGCGTTCACCATGACGGGGGCGCGGGTCGTTCGGGTGGAACCCGCGTAGCCCGAGTCGTCGGTATGGGCATCGGCGGTAGGTGTGGTCCACCTCCCCGCAATGGAAGCACAGAGGGCGTCGGTCGGGCGTTCGCCACAGGTCGGTCTTGCGGGGTGCGCGAGGCTCCGGGCAGGCGTACTGGACCTGGTCGTCGTGGCGTCGGTCGTGCTGCGGCGCAGGAGACTGACGTCGGGGCGGCGTGACATAGGTGCGGCGAGGAGGCGGTGGCCGTCGGGCCACTGCGGCGTAGGTCAGGGCGGGCTCTTCGGGTGGTGCTACGCAGGCAGGAGCCTCCGGTTGAATTGCCCGCTGGACTTCTTCGCGCACCACTTCGGCGATCGACAGCTCAGCCGGCTGGTTGGCAGCAGGCAGCAGCTTGCGGAGCTCCTCCCGTACGATGTCGCGGACGATTTCCCGAAGGCCGTCGACACCGGTGGCGTTCAGGTCTAGTCGGCAAGATGCGGCGGTTCGAGGAGCAGGCACGCCGGCAAGTCGATGGTAATGGCTTGCTCGGGCCGACAGCGCTCGCTCGATGTTAGTGGCTTCAGCCACAAAACCGTCGACGGTTGTCGGGGGATGGCGGACAAGGCCCCCAAAAATTTCAGCCTTCACGCCACGCATGAGGACGCGAAGCTTCTTCTCATCGGCTGCCTCCGGATCGGCTCGGGAACATAGGCGCATGACATCCTCTACGAAGCTGGTCACGCTTTCGTTGGGGCCCTGCACCCTTGTTTGGAGAAGGTCCTCCGCTCGCTGCCGACGGTGGTGGTTGAGGAACGTTCGCTTCAACTCCGCGGCGCAGGACTCCCACGTAGTGAAGGACGCTTCGTGGTTTTCAAACCAATGCCTCGCAGTTCCTTCAAGCGCGAAGTAGAGATTGTGGAGGCATTGTTCAGTCGTCCATCCGTTGTGGCGGGCTACACGTTCGTAGTGTTGCAGCCAGTCTTCAACGTCCTCGTGGACGTCTCCGTGGAAAGGCGTTGGAGTCCTGGGTGCGATCGGCAGGTACACAACGGCAGAAGCGGCCGGGGTCTGCGCCTGGTTGGCCATCGTCGTCTTCGGCTTGGTCGTGGGTGGCAGAAGTCCGTGTTCCGGGGGTAGACCTCGGATGCGGCGACTTAACCGGGTCTCGATCTGGTCTTCGTCGGGTCCTCCGGAGCTGGGGTTTGGACTTGTACTGCGGGAACTTGGAGGGCTGCGCCGTACGGACATGTGATTACCCCGCACCTCCACCAGAATGTCACGGGTGGTGACGAATAAACAAGAAATAAACAGAAATAAATAAACGTTTAATGTGGCGAACTTGTGCCAAAAATAAAGAAGGAAACAGAAGAAAGCAGAGCGTCGCGGGCGTCGAAGTCGGCGTGTCAGCAGAGTCGAACGCTGGGGCGAAACTGACTCGACAAGGTCGCGGGCGGCCTCTTATCTAGAGTGCGTCGCTATCTCGAAGATTCGGCGAAAGCGGCTCGAGCGTCGCGTGATCGGGGCGAGAATGAACACGCACTTTTTAGAAAACAAAAGCAGGAATAAATGATAGAAGTTACAAGCGGTACATGAATAAACGAGAACTTTCTGGAGGTCCATGACCGAGCGTTGCTTTCTCAGCCCTGGGCGCGGCAATATTCAATTTGAGAATATTCTGCCAAAACCATTATTCGCATGGAGTTCACTTGAAACTAGAAATTTAATATTTGCACGTGACTAATTTTCAGGTAGACATGCATGTAGAAACATAGAACTAGGTTAAATATGACAATTCTTAAAGTATGAAAAAGTTGAAGGCTCTCAAGAATTGAGGATCACTTTGCATCACTCAGAAAGTCTGAAGCTTCTCTAAAGAAATCTAAAGCTTCTCAAGAAGCCTGCAGCTTCTTAAGAAGTCACAAGCTTTTATGTTTGAGTTTAGATGGAGGAAACTTGAGGATAGATTTTGGCAATCCTAAAATGAAGCAAGTGGAATTTTAATAAAGAAAAGAATTTGTAGCAGTACTTTGGTCATACATGAAAAAACTGTCATAGTACATAAACTGTGTTCATTAGTCAATAAATCTCGATGCCATCATTATGTACCAAGACCTGTACTGTGGCTCTCGGCGAGAACGCCATTGGTTTTCGTTGTGGCCACATGATCACTTACTCCAGCTGATGGGAGTGATACGCCATCCGCAAAGAGGCCCCGCCGAGGCAGCGACACTATATACTGTTCTCTCAGTTCTAACGCTTTTGCATCTCGCTTAGACGTCTACATTTTCACCTTGCCAAAAACGCATTCCATGTTATCAGGTTTGCGGTAAGGTATGTTTGGGCGTGAAATGACTCAGTTGTACCCTTGCCCGATTTCAGGGAGAATCGGACATGAGGACCATTCTCAAATGCTGCATCACGCTGCACAGACTGTGGGAGCCGAGCCTGGAGCTGCTGCTGCCACTCTTGGAGTTCTTCTTGAAGAACCTGGTGGGCCTTGGTTGCACCTCTTGTAGCCATTTTACAGCCCCTTAATGTGAGGGGCTTGGTTCCTCGTTCACTGGCGGTGCCTCTTGCACTTGCTACGTCAGGCAACCCTCCAAAGACCAGCTGAAAAGCAAAGCAAGGATTACCTTAGACTGTTGCAACTCAAGAACGAAGGGCAAAAGTGAGTCGGGCCAAGGAGGAGGAAGCAGACGAAACGCTAAAGAGAGAAGGGGTTTCCCCTTCTCTTCTCCAGCGTTCCCTCTGCTTCCTGCTCCCCGGCGCGTCTTACCCTCGCCCTTAGTTCTTGAGTTGCAACGGACTATTCGCGACTCCAGCGACCTATAGGGGGCGCCACCACCAAACAAACATGGCGGCTGAGTCCAGGTCGCGTCGGCTCGGCCGGGCCGCCTGAACAGGTGGCGCGTTCAATTTAACAGATTTTCTTTTGTTTAATGAACAATTTTATAGGTATTTGAACTGAGACTGTTCAGTGTAGCCGGTGCACATAAACTTGCAGAACCTAGATTTGTTTTCCAAGTGTGTTTTCTGTTCTTTTCATGTCAAACTTTCGTTTCGGAGATTTCGTTCGAAACCGAAACTATGGGCTCTGGAGAGACGGTGATATACTAATCAGTTTTGCTCATCTAAGAAAAGCGGCAATGACTGCAGAATTCTCCCACCGGCAGTAATGTTCAGCTAACTCATATGCCTCGACCATGCGACTTACCTGTCCGCGAAATCGGGCTTTTGTGCGTATCCGCGTTTAAGTAACAGCTTCAGTTGTCTGCTCGGTCAACAACTCAGGCTGCAGGAAAATTACGAAAATTAAGCAAGCGCTTCTTGAGCCAAGGATCATGCTAACCCGCCGGCACCCCACTGAGCAGCTGATACTCGTATTTCAATTCAGGTTTTAGTAACAATCGAGAAGTCATTTTGACGAGCGGGTTATGTATTATATTACGTACTACGTCCCACTAAAGCGATATTAGTATATTCTTCGGTTTGAAATATGACCTTAGTTAATTAGCTATTAAGTGAACTGCTGAATAAAAGTATATTTGACAGACAGAGAGATACTAAGTTAAACTTAACCAAATGGTTCTAGCCGGTAGCACGGAGACGAATGCGGACAAACTGAAGAGAGTCTTCATTGGAGATTCACGCAGAACCTCTCTGCACTGAACTTGACTTCGAATCCTGAAAGGAAAAAATGAGTATTTTTGTGGCCGGTCAACCTGAGCAATGTAGACGTATATTGCTGTTGGCTTAATTCGACGGGGGTATAATATAAATAATGGAGGCGCGATAAATCATAATGCCGTGACAGCTTCTAACGTTGCGAGACTCGTCCCCCACCTTTTGAAAACAGATAATTTCCCTCATTCTTCATTTGCAGCGAGCAGGCTTTCCTGAATCAAATAATTGCGAAATCAGCTCAAATCCTTCAGAGCGGTCCAGAAGGTTTTTCGGTAAAAAGCAGCCAAGATGAATAGCCAACGCACCGACCGCCGTGGGTGGCTCAAACTTGAAGCTAATCGAACACAACCAAACTCAAGAGAAGCAGCTATCGAACCTTCCCATTCACTTGACTGCAGCATTGGTGTTCCCTCCAGTGAAATGCCTCGTCTGTCGTCCTCCCACTGTTCTACGTCCTTATAAAGAAACCCCTTATCAGTTACCAAGTAGTCGTCACTTTGAATGTGATTTGAGACAGACAAGAAATCAAAACGTTTTTCCGCGATTCCTCCCCATCAAAGAAATCAAAAACACGTGATGGAAGGAAGCAATCTGCTGAGGCTTCGCCACACTAATGAACACTCAGGCAAACTTAAGACATTTTCGAACCTTCGTGAAATTACATTGTTCGCCACCGCGCCGACAACACGTGTCCGCGAAAGCCACCAGAGATGCGGAGGGGCGCGGAGCGACCTGGACCGGCTGGCTCCCGGTTTATCCGCTTGGTGGCGTCCGTTTTGCTGGAGTCGCGAATAGAACAGTGGTTCTCAACCAGTGAAGTTTCGAAAACTCCTCTTGACTGGGCGGAATTCAAGGGGGACCCAGTCTAGCGGGAAGGGGTGGAACGTATCAATTATAATGTCTAAAAGGCAAATGAAAAAAAAACTAAATGCCCGCAAATCAACTTTAAACAACCCTACTTACTCAGCACATTTAGGTTTGGTTTATTTATCTTTGTGGGACAGCCAGGTTCGATAAAAAAAATTTTTATTGCTTAGTTTCATTAACCCTTTCATGGTCACATTTTTTGTCCAAAGACGCGCCCCCGTGGTCGGGTTTTTTTACTCGATGCGATAGCAGAGAGTATACACTAGTCTATTGTCGCATAAAAAAAAAAATAAGACCTAAAATAAATAGTACACACGCTTAAAAACATCTGAGGCACACTCGCTGGAGGCAGAATGAAACAAAAAAGACTAAAACTTCGACGCGCCCGCTTCTGAGACGGTCTAGCAGACGGTGCGGCTGTGTGTCAGACTCCGGACTTCAAACCGAGCTGGTTTCCAGTTGTTGATGGGATGTTGAGCTGTCATCCAACTCAGAGTCTGAGAACGGTTCAAAGTCTGAACCCGAAGAGCCATCGCTCCAATCTTCGCTACACTACCCCCGAGCAGCCGGCACGGGCGGCCATCTCAAAAGTATCACTTGCACAGAGCGTCCAGTTTTGCAATTTAAAAAACTGCACCAAAACAAACACAACCGGAGTTATGCAGTCGTAGTTCCCTACAAACCCACCAGATGTCAGCACGTCCCCGCGAACGCAAAACATGACTTAGTTTTATGTAATACCAGTCAGAAGTGTGACGGGCACATAACTTGGGAAACTGGCAATCTACATCAACTATAGATTACATACTCATGTCACACAAAATATATGGTAAGTTACAAGTAATGAAAATAGATGAAGAAGGTTCCAAAAGTCTTGATAGTGATCACAAACGTATTAAGCTGAATTTTGCCAGAGAAGTAAATGCTGAAACTAGACAACATAATTCAGAGCAAACTTTCTGCAGCGACAAAGAGTTGGAAATAGTTGTTGAAAGAATAGAGGCAGCAGTTTCAGTGCAACGGTATACAGATTGGACCTATGAGAGCCTAACTAGGCTTTTTGCTCTAGAACTAGACAAAGTTCAGAGTAAACGAAAGGGGAAGCAAGGACATAGATCAAAAAGCTGGTGGGACAAAGAAGTGAAGCAAGCGATACAAAAACGTCAGGAAGCCTCTAGAGAACACAGGTATTCCAAGCGTAGTGGGGAGTCCGAAACGGGAGTAAAAAGAAAATGGGACAATTTTATAACATGTCGCCGAGAGGCATCCAGTTTGATCAATGCGAAAATTCAGAGAAAGGGTGAGGAATGGATGAGTAATATAAGTAAGAAAGATAGAAACGCTGCCAAGAAGTTTTGGGAGCACTTGAACTCACTCGGTGAAACGACGCAAGCTAGACAGAGGTTCATACTGTCGCATCAGGGAGATCAATTAGATGGAGATGATGCGATACAATAGGAGCAGTGATGGAGGAGAAATTCCGGGAACGGGTGCATGTGGAAGATAGGAGAACCGAAGGAAGTATCAGTCCAGTTTGTGACATCGCAGATTTTGGACAAAGAGAATGGGAAAAGGCGGAACGAAGAGTCCCTAGTGGCACGTCGACAGGCACAGATGGTATCCCTATCAAGCTGGTGAAGAATTTGGGTCCTAAATCTAAGGCAAAACTAAGGGAGGTAGTGAGTACCATGATAACAAAAGGAAATATTCCAGATGAATGGAGGCTTAGTAGGATGAGTATGATATATAAGGGAAAGGGAGATAAGTCTGATATTAGGAATTATCGTCCCATAACCGTGACACCGGTTATTTACAGGTTGGTAATGCAGATTATAAAGAATAGACTGGAGGAATGGGTAGATTGCGAGGACATACTGGGCGAGTTACAGAACGGGTTTCGGAAACAAAGAAGGTTGGAGGACAATTTATTTTCTCTAACACAGTGTATAGAAATAGCGCAAAAAGAAAACAGACAGCTCTGGCTGGCATTTCTGGATGTCGAGGGTGCCTATGACAATGTGAACCAAAGGAACCTGTGGGACATAATGGAGAACTTAAGGGGGGAGGCTGGTCTTTAAATAGTAAAAAGTTGGAGAAAATTCACTTTTGAGAAAATGGCTTTTCTGGAATGTAGACATACCCACCCAGCTCTGTGCAAAGTATTATTGCTCTAACTAATTTTTAAGTATGAAAGAAAAATATAAGGTCTTAATTTTCTATGAACATTCAGTAGGAATACACATACTTCAAGGGCTTTTTGCTCTCTTCACACTTTTTTCCCAAGTACCGATGCCTTACAGGCGTTTTCTGAAGTTTGTCTTGGACAATATTAACGAATTTGGTGCCATTTTAATTGCGAAGAAAGGAGCTGTGCGGTGATGCTATTTTTATAGTCTTCCAGTTTAAAAGTTCTATCCAATTAATTACTTTCTTAAATAATGAGAAAGCATCTCTTTTACACTATAATTGCAATCGTTTTTTAGTGACATAACCCTCTCAGTTAAGATCTAAAATAGCATCACTGCACAAATTACACCCTTGTGAATACAGTTGCATTAAAAATTTTGATAATTTACGAATACTTTTTCTCTAACGACCCGTAACAAATGACCTAATCAAATTAGGCCAATCTCCCATAACTCGGGTTCTAGTAAAGATATTCAATATCTGATTGCATATTTGGAATAGGTGTGAGATGTGTTATACCAGTGTATAATATGATAAGTATTCCTTTATAAATAAAAAAATTACTCTAAAGCCCCACATCACCCCTTAAACCTAGATGAAGGACTAACAGCACTATTAAGGAACATTTACAAAGATAACAAGGTGATTATAACGTGGGAAGGAAAGGCGACAGGGAAAATAGAGATAAGACGAGGCCTTAGGCAGGGGTGCCCGTTATCGCCTTTGCTGTTTATGTTGTATCTGAGAGGATT